ATCCTTTGTAGGGGCAGGTAGGATGAGCTTGGAGGCATAGATGAGTCTTTGGGCAAGAGAAGAATGGCATTCTTGCACTGCTTGCTCAGAAGTGGGTTATGACTGCCCCTTGCTCCCCACCCTTAGCTTCCATGCAGCGAGCCTACACCAAGTGGTTTTGCTCACCACTGGAAGTCTGTTTTCAAGTACAGTCATGCATTGCTTAATGTTCACGATTCATTATATACAAACAGTTCCTGGATTACAAATGAGTCCATTCCTAAATCTATCTTTAAGTGGGAACACATTTGTACTCAGTTTGTATCTAAGGTCAGTTAAGTCAAATGTTTGTCTAGTATATAGTACACAGTGTACCTTTCTTCCAGATACACTAAAACATCTCTAACAACAATGCAATGACAGTAATGATGTTGTTGCTGTTGGTTTTAAGTTTTTATTGTGAATTGAGTGAAAGTTTACAGGGCAGATCATCAGTTTTACATTCAATAAATCATATACTTTGTTTCATTACAACGAATATAATCCCCTCCATGTACCATCACTTAACAGTATTTCTCTCTATTCATTTTAGCTCTTTTTTTAAACACTCAGGCATATATAATAATTTAAACCACCAAAGGGCACATTCTGCAAGTCTGCCTCCTGGCCACCAGCTTTCAGTCCCTCTCCATGTCCCCATCTCTGCCTCTATCTCTGGTGTCGCTGCTTTTCTGGATAAGGTCCTGCATTCTGCTTGTGCTCTTCTCCCTTGATGGTCCTAGGGTCCTCTGTTTCTGGACTAACTACGCCCCCATTTTTGTTACAAAACTTCTACCTTTACAATTGTGACAGTTGCAATTAGTCAGGATATCAATTACTGTTTTCGTGTGCATCTCAAAGTAACGCCTAGTTGTTATTATGGGCTATTATATGTACCTCAAATTTTTCATATAATGGGTTTTACAGGGGCTGGTACCATGGATGTATATATGAGTGCAGTCAGACACCCCCACCCCAATGGACATTATGAGGCACATGACTGTACTGCCTGCCTATAATTTAATTTTAGAACAAGTTAAATGATATTTAAATGAATTGAACTTTAAAATGCACTCCTTCCAAAATTCTTCTTCTTGCTATTGAGCACTTTGGAGGGATTCAGTGAGGTGCGACAGGATGTGCTCCTGACCCTGTGCTAAGGTACTAAAGGGGCTGCTAGGGTTCCTGCGCTGGGAGGTGGGGATGCAGAGCCCAGAGATTCAATTTCAAAAAGAGAATTGTTTTTCTTCTCTAAACAATAAAAATTTGTAAGAAATTAAATGTTTAGAACTTAATTATGCTTGAAGCCATTTTTTTACCCTTTTTTTGGAGGTATACTTTGTTGTTGTTAAGTGCCGTCGAGTTGGTTCTGACTCATAGCGACCCTCAATAGGGTTTCTGAGGCTGTAGTGTTCAATGATGCATACAGAACATTCCATTCATTTCCAAAAGTTCCCTCATGCCCTTCCCAGTCAACCTACTTCCCCACAAGACACCCACTAATTGGTTTTCCTTTACTGTTGTTGTTGTTATCGTTGTTAAGTGTCATTGAGTGGGTTCCAGAGGACCAGCTGGTGGATTTGAGCTGCCAAACTAGCAGTCCAGTGCTTATCCTACAGCGCCACACTAGGACTCTGCTTACTATAGATGAGTTTTACCTGGTTTATTGTTTCATACAAATGGAATGATTGCTTTTTAAGTGCCTTGGAGTCGGTTCTGACTCATAGCAAGCCTGTATAGGGTTTCTAAGGAGCAACCATTGGGTTTGAACTGCTGACCTTATAGTTCGCAGTCCAGTGCTCGTCCTCTTGTGCCACACCAGGACTCCACACTCCTACAGTATTTCTCCTTTGAGTCTCAGTTCTTTTGCTCAACCTTATGTCTATAAGATTTCATCTATATTGCCCCATGTACCACTAGTTTTATTATCTTTCATTGTCAAATAATATTCCATCGTAGTGTTTCTTTTTCAATTCTGAAGTTGTTAGACACGTGGGCTGTTTCTAGTTTTTTGCTATTATGGATCAAACTACTTCAGATATTTGAGTACAAGTCTATTTGCAGACATACTGCAGTAGTGTGCTGGAGTCACCTCAGCAGAGCCAGTTTTGTGAATCTCTTCCTGCCTCGGGTTTAATGATGTCCTGTTGGAGAACTTGAAATAAGCTATGGTGAGAAATCAGCACATGTTACAAATTAGAATTTTTGTTTTTGTTGGAGAGGTTGTTAAATATTTACCAGCATACCACTGGACACATGCTTTCATTTCACCTAGGAGTGAGATTGCTGGATTGTATGGTATGTCAATGTTTAACTTTACAAGAAACTGTTTCTGAAGTGATTGCACTATTTTACATCCCCTGAAGCAACGTATGAAAGTTCCAGTTGCTCCACATTCTCATCAACATGTGGTATTGCAAATCTATTTTTCTTTTTTTAATTTAGCTATTGACTGGTGATGATCCAAATAGAAAAGGGCTGATGATAAATGGGGGTTATATGACAGTCCCTTAAGCAGAACTTTTGTCTCTCTTATAGGCAGAAATAGCACTCAATCATGACAAGTTGAAGCAGGTGGATATTCCCTAACCTAGTGACCTCCCTCTGATCTTTCTCACTTCACTATGAAGGAACACTGAGTCTCCACACAGGAAAATAAAGTCATTTCAAAGACATCAGGCTGTTCATACTTTTGGGGAAATATTTAAAAATCAAATCTCTTGCCAACCCAGTGAATCCTTTCCGCAAAGGTAGAAAATAATGAAACAGCTTTATTATCTAAAGAGACCTTAAACCAGACTCAGTGTCTAACTGCCCCACAGGGTTTCCAAGGCTGTCATCTTTATGAAGGCAGACTGCCACCTTTTTTCCCCAAAGAGTGGTTGGTGGGTTCCTGTCAAGCGCTTAATCAATGAACCACCAGGGTTCTTACAAATACATTTGAACATCAGGTTTATTCTAAGTAGTTATTCTATATTCACATGAGGAGACCATCTTAATTTCAGAAAAATTCCAAATGAGTGAGCACTCCCTGCCCGGATTCGGAAACTCTTATGGTCGGCCTCAAGTGACCAGAAAAAAAATGTCCCGCTTAATAAGTCATGGCACAATTGGGGTTAAAACCCAAGGTACCTAGGCCTCTCCCCCACTGCGCCTGCGCGAGCGAATTTACCCTAGACCCTGACGTTTCAGACAGCCCCTCCTAATCCGGAACACGACCTACATTCCGCCGGTCCTGCCGTGATGGGCGTGACTATAATCCAATAAAAATGGAGGGCTGAGTCCCGCAGAGCCAATGGCGGAGTCCTAAGGGACTGTGGAGGCAGACCCTGCGAGGAAGCAAGAAGACAGGCCCAAGATGGAGGCGGTGGCGGCTGTAGCGGCGTGACAGGTGAGGGCGGACCCGGCAAGGCTAGGTTTCTGGAGCGGTTGTCAGGCACGGGCAGGGAGTCCGGACCGAAAGCTCAGCTCCAGGATGGCTGCGCCTGGACCCCGGTGCCCCCTCCCGGAACCGGAGGAGTGGTGTGACCCGGGGCGAGACCATCATCGTCAACGGGGTGGGGGGTGGGTAGACAGAATAGGTGGGCAAGGCGGTTGGTGATGGTTTCGCCCGCAGCGAGTGGCAGTGCGCTTGCGCAGTGTTGAAACGCTTCCGGTGGGTGGGGCCGGGCCGTTTTTTTGACGGCTTGTGGCGTAGTGTACCCATGATTTCCTCTTAGTCCCACTAAAGTGTCTGATGACCCATTCTTACCTACTCTAGAGAGAGTGTGGAGAATGTGGCACAGTACCCGCTTTCCATGTTCTGGATCAATGTCTGAGAATTTTTCCTTCACCCCTCTTTAGTCTTCCTCAGCTTCCTTCGGGTGTCGTGGTGTGGCGCCCTGGGTTAAGGCGCTGAACCGCAAAGTCGGTTTGAACTGCAAGGTCGGCATTTCAAGCTCACCAGTTGCTCCTTGGAAACCCTATACAGGGTTGCTATGGGTTGGAACCGACTACACAGCACTTACCAACAACAAGGCTTCTTCCCTCATCCCCATTTCACTTTACATTAGTAATAACGTCTGTGACCCCTCATAAATTGTCCAAGAGACTGTTGGATTTTCCTCTCCCTCCACCTTACTCCCGGCCTATCTCCCCACAACAGTGTCTGGCGATCAACCATTACCCCATCCCTGTTTGGCTCAATGTCTGGTTGACCTCTATTATCCACCTTTTCTCCCTGTTACTGCCCCTTTGACCCCTACTACATCTCCAGCATAGTATCTGGTGACTCCCGTTACCCACCTAACATCGAATCTGTTGATCTGCCCATCAACATTATACCCCAGGACTTAGGGATGCCCATAGTTCTGGTATGGCACTGTAGGATAAGCACTCGACCACAAGTTTCAAACTTAACCAGCCGCTCCTCAGAAACTCTATACAGGGTGGCTATGAGTTGGAACTGACTCAACAGCACTTAGCAACAACATAGTGCATTTAAGAACACTGGTACAGTCCTCTCTTCCTCCAAATTAAGAGCAATGTTATCTCATGATCCACCCACCATTCCCTGTCAGTTTCTGCGATTCTTCCCTTACCACAGTGTGGAACAGATTCTGTTCGTGTCCATTATGTCCCTAACAGTGTGTGCTGTCTTCCCCATTAGTCCCCAGTGCCCGTCACAATGTACTGCATATTACTGTGCCCTCCAGGACAGTGTGTGCTGCCTTCCCACCCCATCCTCTGACGTGAATCTGAGACCTTGGTGGTCTAGACAGATCCTGGCTCTGCTTCAGGTGATAACAAAATTCCTTGGGCTGTTGTGTGACGAGTAGGCTGCAAGGGACAGCGTGGAGCATGGAGATTGGATTTTATTTTGTTCCCTGCCACTCTACTTCTAGAATACTATTCTGGGACTTCTAAGTTCCTCCTTCTCTCTAGGAGCCCCATGGAACCTGTCCAGCCCTACCTCAGCCTGTCTTGACGAAGTCCTAGGCTCCATGGAGCTGCCACGGGCACCCCCCGCCAACGGGGCTGAGCCAACCCGGTCAGTGGGCACCGTCAAAGTCTACCTGCCGAACAAGCAGCGCACGGTGGTAAGTCCGTAGGTGTAAAACTGGCAGGGACTGGAGCTAGATTCAGTTGTAGGTCTGGAAGGGAAGGGTGACAAGGAGTGGGAAGGGACCTTTGTGGAGGAGTGGAAGGGTGTGCTGGAGCCCCTAGTGGGCACTGAGGGCCCCCACATATGCACCCACACACAGGTGACTGTCCGGGATGGCATGAGTGTCTACGACTCTCTAGACAAGGCCCTTAAAGTACGGGGTCTCAATCAGGACTGCTGCGTGGTTTACAGACTCATCAAGGGGTAAGTGTGGTATACGCACACCCTCCCCCAGCCCACCCACTACGTGCCTATCTTCAGAGTCACCTGACTCCTTTCTACAATAGAGTCTTCCAGTATTCTTTTCTCTGTTTTGTGTCATCGTTAGGTGCCATTGAGTCGATTCCTACTCATAGCAACCCTCTATGGTGGGGGAGTAGGATTGCCTCTTCAGGTTTTCTTGGATTTCTTCTTTACAGAAGCAGATCACCAAGTCTTCTATAGAGCAGCTTGATGGGCTCAAACAGCCAACCTGTTGGTTATTAGCTGAGTGCTTAACAGTTTGCACCACCAGGGCTCCTTAGTCTTTCATGAGTTCAGTTAATTCATAAGTTCATCCATCTTTTCTTAGTTCGTTAGTTTGCTGCCTTGTAAGATCAGCAAGTCCTCATGATGCCCCATTGCAAAAGGAGTTCATCTCTTTTGTTCTTTCACTGTTTCAGTAAATGTTCAGCTCTCTGCAGTTTTCCCCACTCTCTGCTGAATTGAGCCTTAGACCATTTGCTATTCTGTTTTGGGATCCCTTCATTTTTTTCTACTACACGTTGCTTTGTATTCATTGGTTTCATGTTTTCTTATCCCCCCCGTTTCAGGGGCATACTGTATATTTCTAATATTAGGTGATTTATTCACTGTCTCATTTGCTCCTCACCTTATGATCTTCACTGTCCTGCCACTCACTACCCTGTGGCCTTGGATCTCAGTTTCTAAAATCGGGACAAGGAATAGTAACTGGTTCCTAGGGTTGCTGTGATGAGAATTAAGCTTGCCAGATATTACTCCAGGGCTTGGCAGGATTTCTAGGGAGGGAGTTCCATGACTCCTGTCCATCCCCCCACTCATTCTTCCATGCCCTCTGCAGGCGAAAGACGGTCACTGCCTGGGACACAGCCATTGCCCCCCTGGATGGCGAGGAGCTCATTGTCGAGGTCCTCGAAGATGTCCCATTGACCATGCACAATTTTGTGAGTGCAGGGTGGCTAAGAGGGACAGACTGTGGGAGGGCAGTGGGTCCTTCACCTGGACTCAGCTTCTCTTTATCTGTGGCAGCAGGTACGAAAGACATTCTTCAGCCTGGCGTTCTGTGACTTCTGTCTTAAGTTTCTGTTCCACGGTTTCCGCTGCCAAACCTGCGGCTACAAGTTCCACCAGCATTGCTCCTCTAAGGTCCCCACAGTCTGTGTTGATATGAGCACCAACCGCCAACAGTGAGCCTGGCCAGAGCGGGAGGAGGTGGGGGACAGCGTCCCAGTCATAAGGCCCTTACAACTGACCTGTGTCCCTTCTCTATATACCCTTTTCACCCTCAAGTTTCTACCACAGTGTCCAGGATTTGTTAGGAGTCTCCAGACAGCATGAGGCACCCTCGAATCGTCCCCTGAATGAGCCACTAACCCCCCCGGGTCCCAGGTAGGATACCTTAGTTGAAAGACTGATGATGGGAGAAAAAGATGTGGGGCTCCAGTGGACCACAAGCCATACTTTATTCATTTGTTTACCTGATAATGTTTTGAGTACCTACAAATGTAAGCAAGGTGATTAAGGGAGCTTGGGCAAGTCGCCTAAACTCTCTGGGCCTCAAGTTTTCTCATCTGTAACGAGAACGTAGTAATAGTTCTACCACATAGTGTTCTCATTAGGATTAAATGAGTTAATTCAAGTCCAGTGCTTTAAACAGGGTCTGGCATCAAGTAAATCATCAGTTCTTATTAATTATATATAAGTTTCTAACTGCTTTCTTAATTCTTGTAGTATAACCATGCCCCAAGCCTTTCTATTTTGAAATGCATGTTATTTTATCATAATTTATTTTAGTTTTATTGTTCCTTAATGTTAAGTATTAGAATACAATAATATATATTTGAATGTTATTTCTCTAATATATCATAACTTTATATAGCGTATACTTTATATGTATATATTGTCTATTTTGTGACATGCGTATTTATACAGTATATGTTACTGTGTAATATGTATGTACTGCATAATCATTTATATTTTTATAGAATCTAGAATATACATTTTGTATAATATCTAAAATAGTAAATTTAGGGCATTATATTGATTATTTTAATTGTAAGTGTATAGTACATCCTGGGTTACAAATGTTTACTCACTTTGAAACAATTAAACTCAGCCCCTGTTAGCAACAAATTCTTCATCACAGTCATTTTCAATGCAGATTTTAAGTCACTGAAAAGGCTTTGAACCTTGCCTTGCACTAAAAGTAAGGCCAAATAAGACCTGTATGCACATGTTTCAACTTAACTTACAAATTTGACTGAAAGACACACTTAGAAGCTCTGTTCATAGCCAGGGGAACCTGCCTGTATATTGCTTAATTACCTATGAATTTCATTTCAGGATAATGGAGTACACATAGAGATATATTTTTATAACATTATAATATGTATAACATTATTGTAACTTGTATATTTTTAAAACATTATATTGCTATGGCTTCTCTGTGGGTGGTGCAAACAGTGAAAGCATTTAGCTGCTCTCTTGGTGGCATGTCTACCCAGAGGCACCTTGGAAGAAAAAAACTTACAGATACATACTTAAAACAAGAAAAAAGGTCTGGTGAGCTACTTCTCAAAGATCTGCCATTGGAAACCCTGTGGAGCACAGTTCTCCTCTAGCACTAATGGGATTGCCATGGCATCAGTTGGAATCCACTGGACAGCAACTAGTCGCCTTTGGTTTGATCATTTTAATATACAGAGATACTATGAGTTTGGTTTCAGATCATCAGTTCACAATTTGCAAGAAAGCAAATATTGTAATAAAGCGAGTCATGAGAATTTTTTTATTTCTCAGTGCATACAAAAGTTGTGTTTTTACATATGAGGGGGCTTTAAAAAATTTAAAGAAAATTGTAGGATAATGGAATTTTGCATGAACTTTTTGAAACCCACTCAAAACTAGTTCATTAAATGTGCAAAAGCATTATGAAAAAGCTTGACCTATTGTAAAAATAACCGAAATGTGCCACCCAGACCAGAAGTGAGCACATGCTGTTAGAAAAATGGCACGGATAGACTTGCTTGTTGCAAAGTTACCACAAACCTTCAATTTGCAAAAACCATGATAGCTGTAAAGCGCAATAAAATGAAGTACAGTAAGACGAGGGATGCCTGTATATAGTATGTTACTGTTGTTAAGTGCCATCGAATTGGTTCTGACTCATAGTGACCCTCTATAAAGTTTCCGAAGAGCAGCTGGTGAGTTTGAGCCACCAACCTGTGGTTCAAACCGACCTTGTTGTCCAGTGTTTATCTTACCACACCAGGGCTCCTGTATATATGATACGTTGTATATTGTATAATACGTATTCAAACTATATTCCTAATTGTGATTCCCCTTCACTTTCCGTGTGGCTTGCTCTCCCTCCTTTAGGTCTTGGCTCGAATGTCACCTTTTCAGAGCTCTGCTTGACACTTCTAGTGACACTTTCTCTCGCCTTAGTTTGTGTAATTATTTTCCCTTTATTGTGCTTATCACTGTTGGGCATATTAAGTATCTCTTTCTTTGTTTCTTGTTTCTCTCTTGCCCTCCTAGTATGTCAGCTCTATAAGGGCAAGAACTTTTATTTGTTCTGTTCACAATTTTCTCTCCAACACCTAGAACAGTGTCGGGCACACAGCAGGCATTCAGTACATGTCTGCAGAACCAATGAGTAGTTTTAATAACATTGGATGTTTACTCGTTGTGAGCTCAGTGCATGTTTATGATGGGGTAAGGGGCTTTATTGGTCTCTGATTCATTAAGCAGTGATTTCATAGCCTTTTTCCTGTCAGCTCCTGCACCCAGCATCGTGACCCTGAGCACTTCCCCTTCCCTGCCCCGGCCAATGCCCCCCTCCAGCGCATCCGTTCCACATCCACTCCCAATGTTCATATGGTCAGCACCACAGCCCCCACAGACTCCAGCCTCATCCAGGTTGGTCGTGAGGGGTCAGTAATGGGGGACCACTGGGCAGAGGGGAGAGCCATTCCTGTTGCATCGGTGTCCTCTCTTTGACTCCTGTCCTCTTTTTCTAGCTCACTGCCCAGAGTTTCAGCACTGATGGTGAGCCATCCCCTACCTGCACCCCGAGCTCTACCCCTGCCCCGCTTGCCTCCACTCACATCCTCTCCACAACCTCAGCTGCTGGGACTAGAGGTGGTGGTGATGGAGTCCCTCGGGGGAACCCCAGCCCAGTCAGCATGTCCTCGGGGAGGAAGTCCCCACATTCCAAGTCACCTTCAGAGCAACGGGAGCGGAAATCCTTGGCTGATGACAAGAAGAAATTGGTAAGCTCAAGGGGAACCACTTAGGGGAGCACCAAAGAGTGAGGGATGTGGGCAGGTCTCTCAGATGCTACCCATCTGACCCACAGAAGAACCTGGGGTACCGAGACTCAGGCTATTACTGGGAGGTGCCACCCAGTGAGGTACAGCTACTGAAGAGGATTGGAACAGGCTCATTTGGCACTGTGTTTCGTGGGCGATGGCACGGTGATGTGGCTGTGAAAGTGCTCAAAGTGGCCCAGCCCACAGCTGAGCAAGCCCAGGCCTTCAAAAATGAGATGCAGGTGCTCAGGTAAGAGTACACTGGTGTGTGGATGGGAGGGGGTAGCGTGGGGTGGCAGGGACAGACCTGGGAGTTGCCTCCTTGAAAATGGACCTCACCCATCGTAAGTTGTTTCTCTGTCAAGGATGTCCCAATACCCTCTGAGAAATGGGTATGTTTAGAGCAGAGCTTCAAACCAATTCCAAACAGTTCAGTAGTTAATTGCCCTCATTAACAAGGGTTACATATGCTTTGCATAGCAACCAAGTCTGTTGCCTGTGCTCAAAAATGACGGCTGATTACACCACTTTTAATGTGTGTTGATTTCCATAGTTTGGCCAATAATGTTGCTCTCCAGAAGTTCTGCCACAGTCTTTGCTCCTGAAAGTTTTGGGAGCCTGACACAGGACGTTAGATTATTGGTGGGACTTTGAAGAGCACACACATGCAAAATAGTGCATCCAGCAGGGCATAGCTGTTTGTTTCAAACTAGAATCAAAATACTACAGGCAGCAGATGTATCTATGTGGTGCATATGCGACCCTTGTATACAATGGCATTTACTGAACCATTTTAAACTGGTTTAGAGGGCATCTTAAGGTTTGTGCTAATGTTAATAGTGATTGGTGGCTATGCCCCTCCCTCCCGGCAACTGTGGGCCTTCTCATTTCCCTCCTGTGTAATGTGTGGGATGCTCGCACAGCATTCCTGTTGTTGTGCCACTTTCATGAACAGCATGTGAGTTAACTGCATCGCCAGGAGGGCTTGTGTTCTGCCTTGCCCTCGTTTATGCAACATCATTAATATTATGTTTATTATGCTGTGGTCTTGTTGTAGGGATTGTAATAATACCATGATTTGAAAAGCAGTACTCATTATAAGTATAAACTGATCCTCATTTCATTAGTTATGGTAATTGCAATCATGAATGTATAATTCATGCTATTTAATGCAGTCATGCTGAGAAACCCTGGTGGGCCCTTTTTGCTCCTGTAGTTACTAGCACTCCTGGGGATGCTGATGTGGGCTCTTTCTCTCTGGTGACTGGGCATAATTCTGTTAACATTGTACTTGTGCTATATTGATACTTGTCCTCTTAGTGGATGCCCCAGTCAGGAGGTCTCTGTTCCCTTCTGTGAAATGGGGATGATTTGAGCATGTTGTTAATTTGCGTAACTTTATTCTTTGCACTATGAAGAGTCCTTGTGTCATCTGAGAGTATCACTTGTGTCTCATTGATGTTATGCACATTCACGTTAGCCTTATAATTGCATTGTAATTGCAGTTCTTCTCAACTGGTTAGTTGCCATGAGTCAGTTCCGACTCATGGAGGGGAAACAATTCAAAATGAGACAGTTTCTGTGAGGTAGACCCAGGTACCCAATAGCAATGACAACAATAAGAAAGTGAAACTTACAGAGAGAGTGCTTACATTGTATCTGGTGCTGTTCTAAGTACCTCACCCATCATTTTCTTACTCATTCTTGTCACCATCCCTACAAATAGCTAATGTCCTCTCAAAGATTGCACAGGGAGTAACTAATGAATCCTGGATTTGAACACAGAACATAACAAGTCCAAATTCCGTGCTCTTTACTGCTAAGCCTCTCATGGTGATTAACAGGAATAATTATTGCATGTGATCAGTATTTTACCCTGCAGCTATCCATAGTATATTGATATATCTGTCAAGAAGATTGGCATTCCATTTACACATCCGTAAAATGGTCACAGACTTAGATAATGGTCAGAGGCAGAGGCATAAAGGGTGGTAATGGGAGGCTAGCAGACATCATTAGAGGTGCTGGCAGGCAAGGGGGTGGGGCAGTAATCCGTCCCCCTTGCTTTTGTTGGGAGACTCAGATGAGGAAGCCCCTGACATAGAACCATAGCCCAGTATACATTTCTCAAAAGACTTAATGAATTTGGCAAGCTTCCTAAAACAGAATGAAAATGAATGGCAGAAGGTGGCCATGAGCACAGAGCCTTTCCTGATGTTCAGTAAATGAATCCCAGTTGCTGTTTTCCGCCCTGCATGCAGGAAGACACGGCATGTCAACATCTTGCTGTTTATGGGCTTCATGACCCGGCCAGGATTTGCCATCATCACACAGTGGTGTGAGGGCTCCAGTCTCTACCACCATCTACATGTGGCTGACACGCGCTTCGACATGGTTCAGCTCATTGATGTGGCCCGGCAAACTGCCCAGGGCATGGAGTGAGCCCCCTGTCCTGGGAACCCTGGAAGGGCATGAGGGAACTTGGGGTGGGGGAAATGAGGTGGTCCCCATCCAATTCACCACCTGTTTCCATCCCTGCAGCTACCTCCATGCCAAGAACATCATCCACCGAGATCTCAAGTCTAATAGTATCTGCCTGTCTTGTCTAAGGGCTGGGCTAGGTCTGGGGTGTATTAGGAAAGTTGAAGCTGAGAAGGATGGCTTTTGTGGGGGACCTAGTGGGGAGGGGAGTATATTGTATAGTTCCTTTCCAGGTGGCAGAGTTGGGACTGGTGTGAAGGTCTTAATGGGGGGGGGGGGGCTCTTAGGAGTCACATGACTTTCAGGTACTGCCTTTGGGAATTCTGGTCAGGATGTGGGGAGGGCATTATGGGGAGTTTCTGGACAGGGCCAGAAGCATGGTGAGTTTGAATATCATTGGAGAGGCTTCCAAGTCAAGTCACAAGTGTGGCCCCAGGCACTATTAATGAGAAGTCCCCACGCAAGTCAAAGTTACAGATAACCTGTGTGACATTGGGGGACTTTGGGTCAGAGTCATGCATGGCTGGTGTTGATGGGAATTTATAGATCAGGGTGAGAGGGATGGCTATTGGGAGTTCCTGGAGTGACCCTTGACCCCCGCGGACATCTTCCTACACGAGGGACTCACAGTAAAGATTGGTGACTTCGGCCTGGCCACAGTGAAGACACGGTGGAGTGGGGCCCAACCCTTGGAGCAGCCCTCGGGCTCCGTTCTGTGGATGGTGAGTTGAGCCAGTCCAGACCAAGGGCATAGAGGGGTGTGAGCTCTTGGGCTGCAACATGACGAGCGCTAAGTAGCTGCCTGTGCCAGGTGTGGGAGATGGACTGCTCACTTCATGTTTCCGCTAGTGTGGGTGACTGTTGTACTCAGTGGGGTGTGGGTACAACATCTGATGACTGTCCCCCTGCCTGGTCTGGCTTATCGAAGGCGGCTGAGGTGATCCGGATGCAGGACCCGAACCCTTACAGCTTCCAGTCAGATGTCTATGCCTACGGGGTTGTGCTCTATGAGCTCATGACTGGCTCACTGCCCTACAGCCACATTGGCAGCCGGGACCAGGTGAGCCACACACCTTACCCATAATCCTTTTGGCTGAGGTAGTCCCGTCAGGTTTCCAAACCACAGATCCCCTCCTTTGCACAGACCAAAAGCATTAACGCTTCTTCCAGAAACCCAATATTTTCTGATCTGAGAACTCCCAGAAACTTTATGACTCCAGATATCCTTAATCCTCTTATTCCCATATCCACAATCTTCTGGATCTCCAAAGTCTAGAATTCCCTGAATTCCTTATACTCAGAATTCTTGTAGGCCCAAGCCATGCAGAAATTTTCTGGAGCCTTGGACATCTTTAGTCATCTGGCCTTGGTACTAAAAGTCTCCCAAGCCCCCAAATTCTAGAATCTCATTGCTCCCAGAAACAGAATCCCTTTCTGCTTCCAGTTACCCACAGTCATCCAAGTGTTGGGTATCCAACAGGCCTCTGGATCTGGGACCAATAATACTTTAGGCCCCAGACTCTTACTGTTCTCCATGGTCAAGGCCCAGAATCTCCCTGAGAACCCAGGATCCTCTAGACTCCGCCAGAGATAGCAATAGTCTCCAGGTCCCGAATACATCATTCTATAGGGCAATATGGATCCACACAGTCCCCTAGGTTCCAGACACTCACAAACCTTTAAGCTCCTGAGGGCTCGGGTCCCTGGATTCTCCCCAGACTCCAGACTTTAAAGGCCCCTGAGCCCCCAGAAACATATGGACCCCTTCTCTTCTGGACTCCAGATACCCCAAGTCCTTCACTTTTCCCAATTTAAATTCCTCTCTTCTCTAAGTGAAGACTACTGTCAGAGACCCAGAATCCTTGAATCTACAAGATACAGTTCACTGGGCCCCAGTACCCGAAATACTTAAGTTCTCTAAAAAGAAGCCATCCACATCCCTAGATACTCAGAATCCCCTGGGTCTTCCAGCCCATACCCCTGGACTACTCCTTTGTATCCCCTTCCTACCAGATTATCTTTATGGTCGGTCGTGGCTATCTGTCCCCGGACCTCAGCAAAATCTCTAGCAACTGCCCCAAAGCTATGCGTCGTCTGTTGTCTGACTGCCTCAAGTTCCAGCGGGAGGAGAGACCCCTCTTCCCCCAGGTGGGCAGGGTAGGAGGGCTGGACACCTTGGGGAGGGGGATCTGAGATGGTGGGAGACACAAAGGTGTGAATGCAAACTCTCCGAGGCTCAAAGGAGTAATAACTGTGTGTATGTGTGTGTGTGTGTGTTACCCGAGTAAGCTGGGCTCTGGGAATGTTGAGGTGCCCATAGGGGATGGGGGGTTCTGAACACTACTCCTCACCTTCACCTGCCTCCAGATCCTAGCCACGATTGAGTTGCTGCAGCGGTCACTCCCCAAGATTGAGCGGAGTGCCTCCGAACCCTCCTTGCACCGAACCCAGGCTGATGAGTTACCTGCCTGCCTACTCAGCGCAGCCCGCCTTGTGCCTTAGGCCCCGCCCCCAGTCACTAGGGAACCAATCTCGGCCTGCCACGACAAGGAGCCCTGCCCACCAACCAATCAATGTTCTGTCTCTGCCCTGATAACTGCCTCAGGATCCCCCATCCCTCACCCTGTGGGATCAGGGAGTCCCCCGTGTGCTTTACCAGTTCCTCTGGAATTGGGGGGGATACCCAAAGACTGAGATCCCTGCCTCCTCCATAATTTGGGTTCCTCTTGGCTTTGGGGATACTTATAAATTTTGGGAGCTCTTGTATCTCTAATGGCTGGGATTTATGGCAGGGATGCCATTTAGAACCTCTCTGGAATTTGTGCCTGATATAATTTCCACTGGATTTTGGGGTCCCCAGCACCCCATGTGGATTCGGGGGTCCCCTCTGTGTCTCCCCCTTACTCAAGGACTCCCTTCTCTTCACCAAGAAGCACAGAATTCTGCTGGGCCTTGGTTTGTTTATTTTGCTTCTCGACTCTTCTCTTGGGGTTCAGAGCCGCTGAGGGGTGGGGGTTAAGTCCAGGCAAGGAGTGGAGGTTGAGGGAAGTGTGGACCACATAAACAGCATCACTGCACACGCGTCACCACAGGCGGCACGATGAACGAGGACCACATATGCCAAGCACGGCACAAGAGGAGGCCACATCAGTCACAGACACAGACATCACGGCAAAGGTGGGGAAGTTGGGGACCACTGGCCTTCCATGTGCAAAGGATTCTGGGAGGGTTGGTGGGGTTTGCATATTTAAAGACAACTGTCAGAGGCAGGAATGAGGGGATGGGGTCCCTGGGGGAACTGAGAGGACCTAGAAATGGGAGTTCCCAATGTGTTGCATGAGTGTGAGGGAGGGTGAAGGAAAATCCATGTGAGTGTGGTGATGGTGTTTGAAGATGTAGATCTCCACAGAGAGAGGAAATCCATGGAAAGGGGTTCAAAAATAGGGGTTTCCTATGGATTTGGACATATTTGGTGGAGAACAGGTGTGCTTGAGAGATCTGGGTCCAGGAGTAGGACTTTCCAGGAATGTCCGGGCTCCAGGAGGGGATTCAGTGGTGTTAGAGCCAGAAATAGGTTGCCTGGTATTTGGGAGCTTCCAAGATGGAAAACTGCACTTTGGAGGGGCCAGGAGTGGAGGTCTTCAGGAATTTAGAGGTTCTAAAACTGAGAAGTAGGTCTTGAGGTGACCAGGAGCAGGATTTAGCAGGACTTGGGGATTCCAAACTTGAGAATTGGATTTAGGACCAGGAGTGTGGTTTCTCAAGAGACTCAGGGATCTTGAGGAATGGGAAGTAGGATCTTAAGAGAACCAGGAGAGGCAGTCTCAGGGGATTTGAAGGTTCCGAAAGTGAGAAATGGATTCAGGGCCCAGAAGGGGGTTGCCCAGGGATTTGGGGATTCTCAGGGTGGGGTGTCAGTCGGAGAAGAGGCTGGCGAAAGACTTCCTCAGGCTGCGGATGGTCTCAGCTTTCACCTCGTCCTGGCTAAGGCTGGGCCTGGGCGGGGCTGGCTCTGGAAGGTTGAAGGCATTGGTCAGAGACTGGGATTTGCTAGAGAGAGACAAGGTGGAGGTGTGGGAGGAAGGGGGGGAAGAGGGAAAGGAAGGGGAGAGAAACACAATGTTACCCCAGGCCCGGCCCCAGCCCTGCCCATCTGATCCTCGGGCTGTGCCTGTGACCTGCCCACCCACCTTCATGGGCCTAGACCCTGAAGGAGTCTCAGGACTGGGAGGGACATTGGACCGAGGAGGTGGGATCTATACCCAGTTAGGAGGACTTGGATTCAAGGTGAAGGAGATAAAGGAGATCCATGAAAAGAGGGCTAAAAAATAGGAGTTTGCTAAGGCTTTGGATACGTTTGGTGGGGAAGAGTGTGAGCTAGAGATCTGAGACCAGGAGTAGGGCTTTTCAGGAATGTAGGGGATTCCGTGGTGTTAAGGCCAGAAATAGGTTGCCTGGTATCTGGGAGCTTCCAAGATGGAAAACTGCACTCTGGAAGGGCCAGGAGTGGAGGTCTTCAGGAACTTGGAGGTTCTAAAACTGAGAAGTAGGTCTTGAGGTGACCAGGAGTGGAGGTTTAGAAGGACTTTTGCTGAATCTTTTCAAATTCTAGGCTAGACTGATAGTTATGTGTGAAGAAGAAGAGCAGGGAGGATTCCAGCCTTAAGGGTGAGGAATCTGGGATGGCCTGCAAGGAGCCTTGGACCAAGGAGCTGGAGTTCTGGGTAGGCTGATGGGGATGGGGCAGGGAAGACTTCTGAACTAAGAAATGGACCAGAAAAGGCAAAGAAGATGATGTGATGGTTTGGGAAGAGACAGATGGAACAGGAGGATTTGGGGATGGACCGGATAGACTGCTAGGAAAATATGAGGATCAACTGGGGGAACAGCTGGAGTGACATAGGGAGTGTTATGAATTGGGCCAAAAGTTTGGGTGGAAGACATCTAAGAATGGACAGGGTGGAGGTGAGTTTTGTAGGGAAGATTTTGAGATGAGCCATGGAGGTACTGAAGGGGGATCGGCAAGGTGCTGGGGATGGGCTGGAGAAGGGGAATTTCCTAGGACTTATTGGAAAGGATCATAATTGAAAATGGGTGCTTTTCTGGGAACTCAGGCCCAAATCCCTGGTCTTGAGAGAAAAGGATCTGGGATGGAGAGCAGCGTCACTGATGGTCTGGGAGGATCCAGAGCTTGAGGAAAGGGCTTGGTTCCGGCTGGAGAGGGAGTGCTCTGGGCCTCTGGATAGGATCTCAATCTGGGGGGCATGGGAACTGGGGTTGCCCCATTTGGTGCAGGAGCCTACTTTGTGAGCAGCAGGGTGAGGGCTGCTGCGGGGGTCCCCTTACTTGAGCTGGGGGTGTGGGAGTCCCCCGGCAGCGGCGGTGGCAGGTGGTGGCACATCCTGGCTGGGTTTCTGGGCCAGTTGTGGCTTGGTGGGACGTCCAGCAGGGCCTGGACCACTGGGCCGTGGCTGCTGCGTGGTGGGTGGCCCAGTACGGGGCACTGGGCCTGCCTGGCTGGCCTGGCGTGTGGGACCAGCAGGCCCTGGGGGTTTCTGGGGTGGACCCTGGCGCTGCTGCCCACCCTGTGGGGTCCCCGAGGCCTTCGGCGGAGCTGGACCAGAGACGGATGTCTGACGGGTAGCCTGTGGGGGTCCTGCCTGGCGCTGGGGCGATGGGGAGGCAGGTGGGCGGGCTGTTGGAGGTGCCCCTGGTCCTCCAGCTACTGGTCGGGACTGACGGCCTTGGCCCTGGGTCATTGGCAGGCCCTGGGACACGGGCTGCTGGGATGCTGATGTGGGACTTGGCAGGCGCTGGGGCAGAGGGCTGCCAGCTGGGGGTCCAAGTCCCGAAAGGTGCTGCTGGCCCTGTGGGGGCGGGCGTTGCTGCAACGGGGGTCCCTGGCGCTGGGGGCCTGGGCCCGGCTGTGGAGGCCCACCTGAGGGACAGAGAGCACACATGTGAGAGTGGGCAAGTAAGAGGTGGGGGCAGCTGGGACGGTAAGAGACTGAGCAGGCCAACCCCTCACTTACCCTGTGGTGGGGGTCGTTGTTGAGCTGGGGGCCCTGTGGGCTGCTGGGAGGTCTGGCGGCCCAAGGGCAGGGCCCCTGGGGACAGAGTCTGCAGGGCAGAGGAGTGGAGCAGGAAAGAGGTTAAAAATAGTTAACCAGCAGTGGAGAATCAGCCAATCAGGATGACATGGGTGCCCTCTGAGCTGGGTGTTGCCCCATTTGTGACTGAGCAGAAGGGAAGTTGGGGTGGGAGGGGGCGCTCATCGAAATTGGGTAGCAACTATTCATCAAATTTTTTAAAGTAAAATTGGTAATTGCCACCACAAGTTCATCCCGGCAATGCTGTAGGCACTTTGCTCAGCACAAGTTAGCCTAGTGATTACCAACTGTAGGCACGGCACCTCGTGGCTTGGGGCTGGCCTCCCCTCCAGACCCCAGGAGACCAGCCTGGCCCTTGCTCAACACCAGGGGCCTGACCTGGCTGTGAGAGCCCCTGCCCGGGGAGGCATCTCGCTGTCTGGGCAGGGCCTGGGCCATCTTGTTGACAACGAGCTCTACAATGAGCTGTTTGTCTTCATCCTGGTGATCTCCAATAAGTGGCATGGAGGAGCCCACCACCTGGAGGAAGAAAAAGGGTCCAGTGAGGAGAAGGGTAGGAAGGACATGTGAAGGTGACAGTAACAAGGTACTTTAAGTTGGCAAAAAGCATGGCATCTGCCAAAGAAAGCTTTGAGAGGCACAGATTTTGCACTGCGAAGACGACTTGTCTTCCTCACAGGGTACCTTACAGCCGATGGGGTACTTTACAGATGGGCCAAACCCATCTCACCAAGTGTTTTTGTATAGCGAAGAGTGGGTTTTGCGTTTTTTTTTATTGGTTGACAAAGCATTTAAAAAAATTCATGACAAGTGAAAATGATCTGAAATTTAGATGTCAGCATCCATAAAGCGTTATTGAAACACAACCACATTTACTTGTTAACCTTGATTTTGTAGGGTTGAGTTGTTGCGATAGAGACTAAAATACGTACTATCTGGCCTTTTGCGGAAAAAGTTTGCGGATTCCTGCTTTATAATTTTATTAGGAGCACCGGTGGCACTGTACGATAAATAGCAGTTGAAACTTGCCAGCAGCTCCACAGACGAAAGATGAGGCTGTCTGCTCCTGTTAAAATTTATAGTCTTGGAAACCCTCTATGGGCAGAACATGCCATCAAGTCGTTTCCAACTCATAGCTACCCTGAGAGCAGCTAGTGGGTTTGAACTGCTGAACTTGCAGTTATCAGTACAGTGCTGATGCTATAGCGCCACACCAGTGCCCAGCAGTAGGTTTAGGTTTGGGTTTTGTTTTCCTGTATGGAAGCCTGGGGGCGTTAGTGGGTTACGAGCTGGGCTGCTAACCACAAGGTCTGCTCCCGCAAAGATTTACAGCCTTGGAGACCCTATACATAGTCACTATGAGTTAGAATCGATCTGGTGGCACAGAACCAC